CCCACCCCCCACTGGGTGGTGGTGGTGGATAAATAATAAAAAACCAACCCTGTTGGGTGCAGCTACTAGGTTATCAAGGAAATGCATTCCTTTGTTGTCTGGATCCTCTCCTGCAGCTGGCTGTGAGCCCATCACAGTCTGGCTGAAGATTTCTGTTAAATCATAACCTACTGTGTGATCCCCATAACCACTAGCACCATCATCCTGTTAAAAATTAATGTAACAATAAGTATTTTTAAATTAAGAAACAGCAAGACATACATTGTCCATCTTTTGATCACTCATTATGCATTATGAATAAAACACTAAATGGGATATTCCTATGTACCATATCTGCACAGTAGTTGTCTCTATCATTCTGGTTATCATAGTCATATTCCTGCACACTGTCGTCAACCTCTGCTGCTTTCTGCTGTCTCCTTATGATGATTGCAGGACGTCCAAAAAGCCTGTTGATTTAAGGAGGTCAGTTTTTTGAAGATAGGTGAGCTTCTTCATAAAATGAAACAAACTTTGAGCATTCTAATACTTGTGACAGTGTTTAGCAAATACGTTTACCAGATAAATCTCAAGGTATCATGAAGATTTTACTTTAGATGAAACAACCAATTTACTTAGTGAAATTCCTTCCATCATAGTGGAGGTCCACTGGTAGTGTGGTCTTATCTCTGCTCCACAGCTTGAATGTTGTCTGAGTTAACTTTGTGGCTTTGCGGGTCACAGCAAAGAGCTTTGTAATTTCGGGGTCCTCCTGCTCTTCATAGACAAGGCTGACAAATTCCTTCTTCTTCTTCTTACCGTCTTCTGACTGAGATTTCATACTTCTCACTATGTATAGAGATAATAAATGAAATAATGAAAAACTGGAAAAAAGTCAATACATGAATACTTTTGACTCATATTCTATGCACTTGTGTACTGACAGCTAAGGGTCCCCTAGCTACTGAATCAAGAAAAATAAATAACTACATGATTATTATTTATATTTGTCAAGAGCAATTATGGCAAAAGCTAAGCTAAGCAAAGCAAAGCAAAGCAAAAGAAAAAAAAAAAAAAAAAAAAAAAAATATATATATATATATATAATATATATATATATATATATATAATATATATATATATATATATATATATATATATATATATATATATATATATATATATTATATATATATGTATATATGTATGTATTATATATATATATGTATGTATATATATATATATATATATATATAATATATATATATATATATATATATATATATATATATATATGTATATATATATATAATATATATATATATATATATATATATATATATATATTATATATATATATATATATATATATATATATATATATATATATATATATATATATATATATTTATTATATATATATATATACACAATCAGTATGTAAAACACATGATTTCATGCAATATCATTGTCTTTAACAGGAAATTAGCCTAATCTATTTCCTTAGAACAAAGAGCAAACCTTTGGATAGTGCTTTTATTCTCCAGTGGCCAGGTCCTGCCCAAGCAGACATGACACGGCTATCAAAGTAAGAGTACTCAGATGGATTGGTTGCCAGATGCTCCTTCAAATGAACAGCTTCCATAAGGGGAGGTGGAGCACGCTGACAGCCCTCCTGCCCAATGGTCATAACAGTGCCATTGTCGTCATCATCAGCTCCATTTATGTGATCTATTCCTTGGGAGAGAGTAATGTAAGTCTCATCTTTATATCTGTTTCTTCACTTTTTCATGTGATTTTGTTTTGATACTGACATGAAAACTGGTTATATGAGGAATGAATTTATGAAGCATTACATTTTGTAACTGTGAACTTCGAAGGATAAATAGGAGGAGGAGAAAAAGAGAAAAGAAAAAGAAAAGGAGAAAAATAATTAGAAAAAAGGCCTGCCTTAAAAACCCATGCACATAGACCTACCTTCATCATCTGCATCAAAATATGGGTCATCATCAAGAGGTTCTGGCACAGCATTCACATCAAAACGATGGGCATCTTGGTCTTCTTCTTCCTCTTTATCCTTTAGTCTTGAAACATCACAGAAAGAATCTTCATCAAACTTTTTTCCATGATGTAAACTCAAAAGGTGCAAATGTTGGACAAATTAACCTTTGGCTAAGATCTGAGAAAAAGTTAGAAAATATGATGTACATTAGGAACTTTAAATAAAGCATTCCACATTGAGGTATTAAGGGGGTATGAACTATCTGGAGTATTGTGCTGAAAAATAATAGGGTAAATAGGTATTTGTGTTCTTATACTCTTAGCAATCCCCAATGATGTATGTATACCTATGAATATATATATACATAAAATTTAATGTACATATTAAATTACACAGCATCATTATCCCTTTTATCCAGATGACGTGACCATCATGTGATTAATTTATTTTTTTAACTTAGGGTCTGGTGACATGAACATGCCAATATGGGAAAATCTGGCTGAGGGTCAGGGTGATGGG